TCTGGGGGATTCTGGGAAAATCATTCACCTCCCAGGACGCTCCCTCCTCATTGGCCTGGAGGAGAGGCTGGGCCCCCAGCAGAGGAGGGTGTGGGCTCCTATGACGCTGAGTGAGGGGCCCAGGGACACACTCCCCACCTGTCAGCCTCCAGGAAGCTCTCAGAAGCAGTCATGGTGATGAACCAGCTGCACAGGCAGGTGACATTCACCCTGGGGACACCAGGGGGCGCTGTGGGTCCTGGTTTGAGGCCTTTAGAGGTCAGAGTCCCCTGGGCTGTGTCAAGTGCAAAGAGCAGGACTGAGCTCCTTTGAAGACCCTTCTGTTGGGCCAACCAGCTCTTAGCAATGAAACCCACACCTGCCCTCTGCCCCAGGGGAGGCCCCGCAGGAGGCCCTGGGCTCAGGGCGGGGCCAGCAGCTGAGACAGACCCTGGCTGGGCCCAGAGAGCAGATTTGCATCCCTGCTCCTCCCTCCTGAGCTGCAGGCAGAGAGGATAAGACAGGAGCTGCAGGGCCAGGGCCAGCTGGGCAGCCGCAGGCAGCACTCAGGACCTCCCGCCATGGCCTGGCTTCCCCTCTACCTCCTGCCCCTCGTCGTCTCCACAGGTCAGAGCGGCCACAGCCCCTGGGGTCCTGCCCCCGATTCCCCTCCAAGCTCAGTCCCAGGGGCGCCTGCTCATCGGGGTGCAGTGGGCATCGCTCTTGTGTTTTCTGTCCGCAGGTCTCTGTGCTGCTCCTGTGCTCACCCAGCCCCCATCTGCCTCTGCCGCCCCGGGGGCCTCGGCCAAGCTCACCTGCACCCTGAGCCAGGAGTACAGCACCTACACTATTCACTGGTATCACCAGAGACCAGGACAGGCCCCTCGGTACATCATGTATCTTACGAGTTCTGGAAGCCAGGGCAAGGGGGCCGGGATCCCCGATCGCTTCTCAGGCTCCAGCTCTGGGGCCGACCGCTACTTAACCATCTCCAGCATCCAGTCTGAGGACGAGGCTGAGTACATCTGTGGTGCAGACTATAGCATTAGTGGCCAATACGGGTTCCACAGTGACACACACAAACGGGAAGTGGGGCTGAAACCTCCCTCCCTCTGTCTGCTCCTCACTGGGACTCGGGACCTGCTCCCTGTCCCTCTCCTGGGTGCTGAGATGCTGACAATTTCCTGTCAAAACCCATCACCCTTCCCCCTCCTCCTCCCCAAGGCGCCACAGGGAGAAGCAAAAGGGGGCCATGACACTTACATTCTTATCCCCCCACTGCTGTGGGCAGGAGCTGGGACAGACCACACCAGGCCCCGCAGACCGTACCCTTGAGTGTTGGGCTGCGCTGACCAGGTTTCCAGGAGCCACAGGGCCTGGGCTCTCGTCCAGGGCTCTTCTCGGGAAGGAACAGAGGCCTTAGGCTGCAGGGGTGACCTTGGACGTCGCCTGTTGCCTCCGCTGCTCCGTGGAGGGAAGCAGGGCCCTGGCAGGACGGGAGCTGAGCAGGAAGCGTCTGGTCCTCGGGGAGGCAAGACAGAGCCATGAGCCCGTGGGGGGCGCAGTGTGGGGGCCCAGGAGGGAGGCGGGGCCTGTGAGGGGGTCTGAGCAGGACCAGCCTGGAGCAGGGCCTGACTCCTCCCGCTGTGCCAGGGCCTCTGCTTGTGGGGCCAGGGCAGGCTCCCTCTCTGCCCAGGCCTTTGAGAGATGGTGCAGGAGCCCGGCCTCTCAGGAGGGACAGGGAACAGGAGGAGCAGGAGGAGTAGGAGGACCAGGAGGGGAAGGATCATGGCTGACCCCGCAGTGACCTCTGTCAGCTCAGGCAGCTGGAGCCACAGGGTCCCAGGGCCACCCCCACCCCCTCCCTGTGAAGGGCTGTTCTCTAAAGGGCTGCAGTGACTTTGCCCCAAACGAGGCCCCACAGGTCCCTCTGCAGGACGGGTTCCCACCCCTCACCCTGTAGGGAGGGGCCAGGAGGACGGTCCAGGTTCAATGCGAACCCCAGTGTGGGCCACACTCACCCAGGGCCTCCCGGAGCCTGGCTGCCCATAACGTGGGAGAGTCAGCAGTGGCCTCGATGGACAGACAGAGGGACGCGTTGTGCGAGTGAGGTCGGCGAGGGAAGGGGCAGAGGCAGATGTCCCTGCTGTGCTGAGACGGGCACCAGCCTGTGAGGGCGCCGCCTGCACACATCCCAGGTCACAGGGCGACAAGGGGCCCCGGAGAGGCCATGGGGACCCTCTGCTGTGGCCACGGGGTGACAGGGTCAGGGTCTCAGGGGCCTCACGTCAGCCCTGGTGGGAAAGGGATGGATGATCCGTGTGAAGAACTGACCCTTTCTTTGTGTCTTACCTGTGGCTTTGGCGTCAGAGGGGCCCGGTGACTGTGAGCCCAGAAAGTCAACTTTCCATCTAAAGTTCCAGTGCGGCATCCATTACACTCAATAAAGCTGTTTCACACACACAAAAAAAGACGGACCAGCGTGGCACCGTGGTTGAGGGTCGACCTAGGAACCAGGAGGTCAGGGTTTGATACTCGTCAAGGGCACAGGCCCGGGTTCCAAGCTAGAACCCCAATACGAGGTGTGCAGGAGGCAGCTGATCCATGATTCTGTCTCAGCATTGATGTTTCTATCTTTCTCCCTCCCACTGCCTTCTTCTCTGCAATCAATAAATATATATTAAATAAATAAACAAAATGCTTGAGTGGCAGGTGGCCTTTTGTAGAGTCTCTAGAACTGTGGTTCTCAACCTTTCTAATGTCTCGACCCTTTAATACAGTTCCTCATGTTGTGGTGACCCCCAACCATAAAATTATTTTCGCTGCTACTTCATAACTGTAATTTTGCTACTGTTATGAATCGT